GTGGCGCCGCCTTGGTGGCAGAAAAAGTCGTGAATGCATTGTTGTGATATAGTTCAGTCACAGTTCATTTAGGTTACTCAGCGGTAAAGAAAAACATTTTTACCAAACTTCTTATTCAAAATTTTATAAATAAATTAGTTTGTCAACACATACAGGAAAGAAAAACACAACCTGCCTTTATGCATTACAGCACCACCATCTATCGATGACATTGGTTAACTATTGTATTTTAGATAGTAAGGTTAATTACATTTTTTGTTTATATTTATTACGTTATTCTTTCTTATTTTTATTTACTGCGTTTCAGATATAATTATATCGTTATGGAAAATTATTTTACGTCCTTTAATTATGATTTATGATATAAGATTAACATGGTATCTTTGCACGCCATAATGCACTTGATGACCCAACGCCGCTATTGAACAAATTCGTACTTATAATTCGTAGTACCCATACTTCAGAATATTAATCATAACTTGTGATAGAATGAACCGATTTTAATGAAACAAATACTAAATTAAATACAAAGATAAGCTTTATAATTTCTTTACTGATTTTTTTAATATAAATTAGTCATTTATACGTGATAAGATAACAAACAAACAGACAGGCAGACAATTCTAAAAATGGTAGAAAGGTATTTATTTATTTATTTTTAGTCCCCTCCAATCACTTTATACCTACTGTCATATTATTTGACTGTCTTTGTAAAAAAATACATCCTCTTCACCCGACTACAATATAAAATAATAGTATGAATTATGCCGTCATAATACATACTATTATTTTATATTTGTATAATCATCTCATGGTTATGTCTCTTGGCTGATTTTGACGCTCATACTAATAACTATCTTTAAAAAAAGAAAAAGTATAAAAATAAACATCATTATATCTTTCTGGTATATCCCGTAGTTGCCACTAACGACCCTCAGGGACGAATAGATAAATAGATATATATATTTAAATCTCTTTGTACGTCCCCAAACCATAGACATGTTTGATCCGGGTCGCGTCAAAGTATTAATGATTGCAATTACATTTTTCGAATGTTCCGGATCAAACGATTGACAGAACCTACGACCAAAGATTATAGTAATATCCGACGACCGAAATTATCGACCGAGTCTCACATATCGCAGAGTACAGAAACTCGAAATGATCCATTTGCATCCATGATCGGGTCACTAGAAATGAATGAATGACACATGTTTAATAATAACAAGAAAAGGAAAATAATAACAAAACATTTATTTTTATATTCATTTATTATAGATTGAATACAATTTTATCAGCATAGAGAAGAAGTCGTCAATAGTATTAAAGTTTTACATAGTGTGGAAAAGTGAAAAAATATGGTTACACTACTGATATTTACTATTATTGTCGTGTAGATTCGTAGGTAGTTAACGGATAAGAATTTAAAGAAGTTGACATAAGTAAATAATTCATCACGAAATTAAATAATACTATACACATCACACATAACATTATTTTCATGCTCAAGAACTTCATTTTAATTAAATGCTTATAAATATAATGAAAATTAATCGCGAAAAGGTCTCATTAACAGTGTAACATTGTTAATACAGAAATACTTGCAGTAGTAAATATTTGAGCTCATACAGCCGAACCACTCTTTTCCAACGACGGAGGCAACTGTTGCCTTTACAATACTCTTTACCTACTGCTGCCGTCGCCGGTTATAGACGGTTGCCTTCGAGCCTTCGACGGGTCGACTGCCGTAGTCGACGCGTTGATGACTGTAGGTAATAGATACGGCCGCGTCAAGGTTCCGATCCAAAAATTCTATGGGTCCGACAAACACTGGTTTAACTTTAGTATAAAAACCAGTCGTCAATAAATTCCTAATAAGCTTTTATTATCGTCTTAACAAATGGAAAAGAAAAAAATATTCAATATTTATGAATGGATATTGGCATAACATTATATAGAATGACATTTTATTTCATTCCAATTCTAGACTATAAAAAAAAAAACACAAAAATAAAAAAGTTGTTTTCATTTATTACAAATGCTTATTGCTCGCTCTTGGACTATTTCACATCGACAAAAAAATGGCACACACGCCACCACACGCTACCACTACATGACCATTATTGAAGCCATCGGCGTGCTCTTGCCGTCGACGACAGCCGTCACTTTCTTTTGATCGACAGCTGCAATTTAGTGGTTGACAATGTCGTTCGGCTGTTTGCGCTCAAGTTATAGAGTGAAGTAGTGTAACAATTATTTACATATTATGTTATGAGTAACACCTGAATAAGTAGCAAACAGAGGTTTATTCAGTACCTTATGTACTTAAAATAGTGTTAAATTTGTCAAAATTACGAAAGCACGATCTTACCATGTAATACGGAGTTAAAGTGGGTTAAAATGTGGCTGATGTAGCCCTTGGTCCACCTTAGGATTTTACCTAAAAAGCACCGGGTAAATCTAGGTTTGCTACTTCTTCGGGCATTGCCCGTAACATAAGTACACATTTATTATAAATTCTTTACATATTAAGGAGACTATGTTAATTAGTTAATATCTAACTACGCAGGTACTATTATTCTGGATTTAAATATTTAAAAGGAGGTAATTGGAAGTGTATTCTGTCATAGTGCTTAGTTTTTGCTACATACAAAGAATACTTAGTATAATAATAAGTTTCACGCGATAATAAAAAAAGCGTTAATGTAATTAAATAGTTACCTTATTATAAGTACAGTCAATCATCAGTCCACTATTGAGCATAGACCTCCTCCAAACTTTCTACTGCGGTACTTTTTTACGCTATACGTACACGTAAACTAATCTTTTGTTATCATGTACGTAGATAACAGCTCACGTTGGTCTAGTGTGGCCGTAAGAGCGACAGGCAACATGAGGTACCGGGCTCGAATTCCATGTCGGGTTTCAAAATCAATTATTCTGTCAAGAGATTCTCGGCAGCAGCCCGGAGTCAAGAAAATGGCGGTTTCTGCCACCAGCGTGCCTGGGACAATATGAAAGCTGACTGAGACTGATATCCTGCACATAATCTCTTCTTGGCCGTGTCGCATTGCCGTCCCATCGAACTACGAGTGAGGGAATAGAGTGCATGGGTATGTTCCGAAATACAACCCAGTACACTGGCCAATGCAAATGACGTCATAAATCGACGCCATATTGGTGTTTCGTTGTATCGAACATAGTGAAATACGGCGTCAACTAATGACGTCACTTGCATTCGCCGGTATACTGGACACATTTTGGAACATACCCGCACGCACGCCGCATTGCGCGCACACTTGTGTGGTATTAGAATTTTGTCTTGCGAATACGACTTTTCTCCATTGATACTGGCCTCTGTGCTCGACAAAACAATAGCTGTCCGGCCGTCCACACTTCCGTTGATCTGAAGAACATTTTCTTAGCAGAATTAACACAGACTGTATTCTAATAGCGAATCCGACAAAAACAGGCAATCCGTGGCAGTCTTCCCCCTTCGGAGTCATAAGGGTTAACTATGGGAAAACGTGGAAGATTTTGTGGCCGCCGACTGATCCTCAAACATCTCGTATATGGTACCCATAACCTATGTACCTAAAATACTCAGGCCGGCGACAGACTGGTACCTACTAGAATACTGTGGTCCCATTTTGCCGGCCAAATGCCAAGCATATAGCATCCTTAGCGCATATTCAACAGAGGACTGACGACGGATAGATTACGATGATAAGTTTGCAAAACTATTAAAAATATAAATTAGGTCTACAATGTGACCAGTACACAATATTTATTTAACTAAATAAATATATTATTATTACGAATTTATTATTATATCAGGCCTTTACATATAAAATTGCCTTTTTGTAAAGGAACATTGAAATAATGTTGTTTACCATAAATAAAAACACAACATTTAACGATATAGATACAGAAAAACAAAAACCAAAGAAACGAAAGAAAGAACATATTTTGAAAAATTTCAAAGCAAATCAAAGCTATTGCAGAGTTCAAACTAAAAAAAGTGGCCAGCACAGCATAACGGCAATTTCATATATAAAGAAATACCTAATAATAAAAGTATATTGATAACCATTAACGTCTGTTAGTGACCTACACGGTCTTCTGAACAACTTAATCGATTGAGGTTAAAATCATATTCACACAATATTACTTATACCTATTTGTTTTGCGAGTCGATAGTTCATTATTAGTAAACTCTGTATTTATGGACCAAAATGGCTCATAATATATAATATTGTTTTAGTAATAAAAATAAAATTAAAAAATTTAATAAAATTACATAATATTCACATAATAGAAACAAATTGAGCCACCTACTTAAATGGCAAAACAATGTCCCCCAAGTCCGGTAGTTTATATTAAGAGTAATATTAATATTATATTTATTTAGTTATTTAAATATTAAGTATATCGCTAACCTGATCTATGTAATAGTTTATTTAAAAATTAAACGGTACAATTCGTTGTAATCACTAGGACTAACTACTCTGGGTAATTTTATTAGTTTTACATATTGTATAATATGAAACAACCAGGAGTACATAACCTACTCTGTGAAAACTTGATAATACTTCGAATATCTTGCATAAATATTTTACAAAGAAGTTAAATGAATCAGTCTATGTGTGTTAACCCTTAATAAGGCAATAGGAACATTATTCCCACATTGAATTTCACAGTTTAAACGGTCAATGGGACGTATTTTTCCATGAGCTGTCACTGTCATTTCGTAGTTGAATATATTATCTATGTTTTATAGGCCTGTGATCGTGTTTTCGAACGAAAGAAAAAATAAAAAAGAAATGTCAACGTCATTGTCACAATAATTACTCACCGGTAATTATATTGTTATGCAGTTTTGTTAATGAAATAGATAATATGTCGAGAAAAAATCCGGTAAGTGTTCATTTTTGGTTATTTTGCATAGATGTAATGTTTTTTCAGTTGTTGATGTGTTTTATTTTTCCAAATAACAAAAAATGACTTGGTTTGATGGATTCAAAGTATGTGGGAAATATTTGCTTGTTGCCCGTTTAGGTTTCCTACGTAACGATTTATGTGGGAAAACTGTTTCCGTAGGAAGCATGCAGGATTTCTATTTATCTCATAAGCACTGTTTTACGTTTCAGAAACCACTTCACGATTCTGAAATTGAGATCCAGCTGTCACAGCTACTTTGTTCATCGGAAGAAGAAAACCTTGATGATGAAGCAGTTGACTCTTTTGCCACCAGTAGTTACAATGTCGATTTAGACAAGCGTTTGGATGAGATTCAAGGTATTTCTGTCGAAGAATTACATTCTTTATTGGTGGGAGAATCAGATTTGTCTCTTATCCAAGATGAAACTTTTTTGAATTCACCAGTTCAACAGATTTTTAAGCCGATTCTTCCTCAAGTGGCTTCAACTTCACAAGATGCAATCGCTGAAGTCCATGCAGGCCCTTCTCTTGTGATTTCGGATGTTCCTATGCTACTTGATCAAAATCCTGGTGAAACAACCTCACTTGTTTCTGTAGCTGATGTCCAGGCAGACCACTCTTCCCTAGTACCACTATTGGCAGAGCCTGATGAAAGCTCTAATGCAGAACCAACATCTTCTTTCTCTAGGGATAAATTCATTCGATTTCAAAATAAATCAAGAGATTGGTCTTTTGCAACTGATGATATTACTTGGCCTATTTTCGAGAAGAAAATGCAGATTAAAAAAAATTACAGTAACAGAAGTCAACCACTGGATTATTTTCTTGACTTTTTCCCTGATGAGTTACTTTATATTATTGTTGAAAATACAAATATTTATGCAAGACACACACATTCAAAAGCTTGGACTGAAGTTACAAAAGAAGAAATAAAAGCATACTTAGGAGTGATTATACTAATGAGCATAAATCCATTAGCAGATATAAATACTTATTGGTCAACTGATGAGTTTTTCAGAAATCCTGTTATTTGCAAAGTAATGCCCTTAAAAAGATTTAAAAAAATTACACAAAATCTCCATATATCAAATATTTCCACAGAAGCTCCACGAAACTCACCAGATTATGATAAATTGGGTAAAATTAGACTTGCCATTTCAATCCTAAACAAAGTTTTTCAAGACAATGTTCAAGAAGACGAAAGTATGATCAGGTTCAAAGGTCGTAGTCACATGAAGCAGTATATGCCCAAAAAACCTATAAAACGTGGGTACAAGTGTTGGGCAAGAGCAGATTCTCTTACAGGGTATTTATATGAATTTCAATTTTATACTGGTAAAGTTAATACTGGAACTGAAGAGAATTTAGGGGCCAGAGTCATAATGGATTTGTGTGAATCTCTGCCAAGCCATACATTAGTGGCTTTTGATAATTTTTTCACCAGTCTGCCACTGATGGAACTTTTACATGAAAGAGGCATTTACGGTGTTGGAACACTAAGAATGAACCGTAGGGGCTTACCAGATTTGATAACAGGAAAATATTTAACTGGTGAGTTTATATATCAGTATAATACACCTATAGGAGTATTGAAATGGAAAGATACTAAAGATGTTTTTCTTGGAACTACTGCGTTTGATCCTCGAGCAGTTGAATTGATTGAGAGGAAACAGAAAGATGGTAGCAAGAAGAAAATATACTGTCCACTTTCGATTAAAAAATATACAGAGTTCATGGGTGGTGTTGATCATTTCGATCACTTTAGAGCATCATACCCCCTAGGACGAAAGTCGCGGAAGAATTGGCACAGACTTTTTTGGTTCTTGTTGGAGGCAGCCGTCATCAATTCTTATATTGTTTATATGACGTCACATTCAGAAAGGAGAAACACCCATAAAGAATTCCGGTTGCGATTGGGCAGAGGACTCATCAACAATTTTTCATCAAGAAAAATCCTCGCGCCCGTGTTCAAAAACAAAAAAGGAGGTACCATTTCAGTACCGGAAGAGATTCGAAAATCGGACGTAGGATCCCACATGCCCGAATTGACCAAATTTCGAAGATGCAGAATGTGTAGTACACGTGAAAAGGAGCAACGCAGCAAATATATGTGTAAAGTTTGCAAGGTATCTTTATGTGCTGCCCCTTGTTTTGAAATGTTTCACAAATAAAATAAATGAGATATTATCTTTCAATTTAGTGTTTTTATTTACTTCAATTATCTTAGTCTGACTAACTGTTCCTAATATGTAATGTAAGTATGAAATATATTTCCCACTAGTTGGGAAATAATTTCCCAGGAATCACCAAAGGTTACAATGTAATCGGTCAACAGGAATTATTTTCCCACATAGTTTCCTGAAAAACTGAAAACACGTAAAAAATACTGATATGAAATCCTAAATCTGTATGTACCACTAATTACATACTAGCTTTGAAACTTTTGCAAACATCCACAGTTTAGCCATGCCCTATTAAGGGTTAATGAAGCTGTTTTTTTCTACACTTACAGTCCGTACACTCGTACAATGTAATAAAAACGCTACACAGTCTTAAATGTATAAGGCAAAAAATTAAAGTTTTGTACTAGAAGGTGTAATCAATGTTTTGTACGCAATCCATTCATACCAAAATGTAAAGCACTAATACCAAATATTATATGTATCCAAGTTGATTATTATTTACATAAATCGTAATTCAGTGTTATAAATACCTATAACAAACTTATTATTGTCTATTTAGGTATAAAACATTTTTCTTATAAATAATTGTAATAAATAACTCAATTATTAATAAGTAATAGAATCTCTAGTAGTATCGGACGTGACTACGCATTAAGACGACGCTACAAGCGGAGTTCGAATCCTGCAAGGAATATGTATTGGAATGGGCTCCAAATATTTGTTGTTCCGGGTCTCAATGTTTTAGATATGTATAATTTATTTTTATAAATCGCTTTCGCAACAAAGTAGAAATTCGTAGGGGAGAGGTAATATTTTCAAAAAAAAACTTTAAAATGGTTATATTCATATTATGCACTTGCCAGTAACAGCTTTCAGTGATTACTGCCAAAAATGTCAATTTCACAATTTGACAAACAAAAATCACAATTAGTGAAGTGAACTTACAAACGTATCGCCCGCGCTCGACTAACTTCAGCCATCTTATCGCTCCATACTAATTGCTATATAAACAATCGTATTTATATTTCGTTATAGAACATTTTGCCACAAGTTAGAAAGGGAGCGATCGTCTTCTCGAAATCCCGGTAAAAAGCCCACCCGGTACAAAGATCATTAGGCTAGTGTAAAAAATAACAAAATACTGGGCAATTTGCTTGTTTGTTCAAGTTAAATAAAATATCTTTATAATTGTTTGTGTATCTATAAGCATCCGTGTAACTTCTGAACTACTTGACAAATATTTGTGAATATGGCCGATTAAGGTCGTATTCACACGATTATTCATTTTGTCGAGGGGTTTTTTTTATAGAAGAGAGCAAACGAGCATGCGGCTCATCTGATGATAAGTGACCGTTCCGCCGCCCATGAACAACTGCAACACCAGGAGAATCGCAGGTGCGGGGCCGACCTATTAAAAATATAAGGCTCTTTTCTTGAAGAATCGGTTCGTAAAAATCGCTGGTGGTAGTAGATTCCCCAAGGAAGTTGTGCGAGGAAGAAAACTTCGGTTATTGTTCATAAATATGCTAGAACGCCATACATGACGCTGTAATCAAATTACCAACACATTCTGTATTTATTATACAGAACTTTATATTGATAAAGACCAAAATAACTCATATTCGCCATATATATTATGTTGATTTAATGCCGAATGAAAATCACAAAATCTGAACCCAATAGGTGGCGCTGTAGTCGAGTTGTTAATAAAATGTTATGTTTACTTTGTAAAAATTCCGGAGGAAAACTCATGGCGCCACCAATCGGAAAGGGCAGAACAACATCTGCCGGGCCAGTTTATAATTCTCGTCTAAAATGTAAAATCTGTTCAAAGACGATGATGTGCCATAGAACACTTATTAAATTAATTTTAATACAATCACAGTTCAATTTTTTATATATAAGTACCCGGATGACCGAGCTTTGCTCGGTTTTTTTTTTGAACTGAACTGGTAATTTGAATAAAAAATCATGAATGCAATTAAATTAAAATTAAAAAATTTTCGTATTTTTAAAAAACACTAAAAAAGGGCTCGAAATAATAGATTTTTTCACAAAAGAAGGGAACTTGAAAAAAAAATCGGACCGAAGATAGGACGCGTACCAAGGCATTACGATTTTGCGATCGCTCGATATCCACTTGAGCTATTACGATCATTAACACATTGTCAAAATTTACCTTCTTATATTGTAGCAGTTTTTCATTGCCTGAAAACACGGACAAAAAGACATTTTCCAAAAATAAATCCTAGCTAGATCGATTTCTTGCCCCCCGAAACTCCCTGGACACTACATTTTATGAAAATCGTTGAAACCGTTTCCGAGATTATATATATATACAAGAATTGCTCGTTTAAAGGTATAGGATATAAATTTTAATTCACATAACTTACAACTTCAAGTCAATAAAACCGAAAATTAGCCAAGTATTAAAAGGCTTTAGGTTATAGTGCTTTACATTTCAAACAATAGATCGAGGATTAAGGGAGCATGAAATCTACAGTGGAAAGGTTAAAGCTATTATTTCACAGCCTTCGACTCTAAAGGTAGTGCGTCTTACATATTGTATTATTATAGTGATTTAGCACAAACAACTACGTTTTGATACATGATTATATCGGTTATGAGTTATTTTAAGTATTTATATCACGACTCAATAAACAAATCACCTGTAACAACAAACTTTTTTAATAGTTCATATTAGTATTTATTATTTATACATAGAATAGTCAGTGAAGATATAGCGGAAATAGTTCTTCGAAATAAAAATAAAATAAAGACTTGGAATGAAAATTTGGCAGAGATTATTTTTTCCATTATCTGTCAGATGTAAATTCATAATAGTATACTAATCAAAAAATTCAGTTTGTTGGTACTAATAGTCTAAAAGCTGGCTACATAAAAAGGTCCACGATTGATTTGTGTTAAAAAAGAAATCTTTGGTGAAACCGAAACTAAATTTGTCTATCTGACAACGTGAAGCTGGTGCATAAAGTAGGGGGCGTGTGGTTAAACATGACAAATTTAGGAGCGAATAAACTTATAAAGTACAAGTATTCTTATTACGGAAAAATATTTTATTTATATTGAAGAAACAAGGGAAAATGTTGGCAGACACATTGCTAGGGGTCTTACGTGCCGCAAGAGCACGCCAGTGTTAACCAAAAAATCAAGAGGTGCATGTATTTAAATTATTATTGTTATATTTAAACAAAGAAAACAATTTACCAAACGGTAGAGAAGTGGGGGCTAAAGCCCTGGCATATGATTTGGAAAAGCTCGTTTAATCGCTCTCGACGTGCTGCATCTCTGTCCCCAATTCTCTGTCTGCTAATTGGTAAATGGTTTTCTTCTTTATTTCTTATAAATTTTTTCACTTCCAAATTTGTCATATTTAATCGTACGCCCCCAGTTTTCCTACATGTATGTAAATATTAGAACATTATTTATTTATTGAATCGCGCATTTAAATTTTGGGATAAGACAAATAGAGCAAATTGTGAAGTTAATGTGTGAGATTAAACATTCTTCAATATATATATATATATATATATATATATATATATATATATATATATATATATATATATATATATATATATATGTGTGTGTATATATATATTTACACAGTAGATAAAGACGAAATTTCTTAAAATCTAATTGCGATTATTTTATATTTATGTCCATTATATGGTAAATCCACAATATTTTTATAAACAGACGTAGGTATTTTCTTTCAATACTCCCGTTATTGTCAATGGTTACTATATGCGACACTACATAATGCAATGATGCTATTTCGGAAAGAAAACGTACCACTACCACAATTATCGTTATCACTTGGAAAAAAAATTTGCATGAATGTTTTTGGTTGAATATAATTATATGAATTAGAAAAATAAATTGTTTAACTTTTCCCAATCAAATTAATGAAAATTTTAATATAATTAACACCTCTTTAAAAAAAAAAACAAAAGCTACACCCAGATATTCTTTGTATTTTTATGTAACAAATAATGCAATAACTTTAAAAAAAATGAAGTAAATACCGATATCAAATTGCTAAAAAGAAGTTATTTATAATTAGTGAAATTTTTTCTCCAATTTTGTACGGGACAAACGTGAAGTATGACCTATTTATTATATAATCATCGAAATAGGTTCACAATCTGCGAAGATATCGCGTTACATACATACAAAAACATACACTTGAATTGAGAACTTCCTCTTTTTTGAAGTCGGTTAAAATTTTGCTAATATGAATAGGATGTGCAGTGTACTACTAGGGTCCTGTACCTACTGACAACACTCGAAGTAAGGAGAATATGTACATGTTACTTTGCTCGTTATTTATAATGTAATGATTTAAATCAATCAAGGATAAGGCACCAGGGTACAATAATGCATATATTTCTTGCAATTGACGAGTGCAGTCAGCCTTTGGATGTGGTTCAACATGTAGCAGCACAGTGTGACAGTGTGCTGCTACATGTTGAACCACATCCAAAAGTCGACCGCACTCGTCAATTGCAAGAATTATAATAAAAACACTGTCTACATGATCATTCTATAACATTAATTCATATTCTCTAAAATGACTGCTACGACAAAAATGTTTATATCTTTCAAGTTGCCAATACCACATGCTTCTCACATGACGTAATTATTTAGGAACTTAGAATTAAATCCTATTATTTTAGTGCTAATATTTTTTATATTGTTGAACTAAACAAAGTACACAAAATGTCTCAAAATCGTAGGTATTTCTTGGCAGTGAACGACAATCTGCAGGAACAGTAGCGTATTTTTTTATAAGCTATAATCAAGTTAATAGAAGCTCTGATATAATTAATGAAATACCAAAAATTCTGGCAAACTTGGACGATTTAAGTGTTTATCCACTTTTAACGCTAACTATACATATACTTATCATCATTTTGTCGTAGCAATTCCAATTATATAATAACACCAGACAACATAGTATAAAT